TGAATAGCAAAAACATATTGAATAAAAAATGAGAGAAAGAAAAATGGATTTTTGGAAGAAACAAACCAGTCAAGGCTTCTCAGTCTCTTTTAGACAATTCGGATGAGTTAATCAAAATAAATCATGTCATAAATCACAAACAGTTAGAGTTGTTAATTCTAAGTGATCAGTTTTAAATATATCAATCAGAAAGTCAGAAAAGAGAAGAATTTATCATAGATACATGAGTGGTTAAAAATAGCTGACTACTTAAGGTTCAAATTTGACTCAGAACGGGCTTATAAACAACCAAAAACAAGCTACTTGAGAATTGTAGACTGTTCTGATTTTTGATGACTAGATTAAAGGGATGAAGGGCAGAGAGAGACATGACTGAGAAAAATTCAACATATTTCCTATATTTGATACCCCCTATTCTATATATTTTAAAACTAGATTTATGTGTTTTATTCCTTTTGTCCTTCAAGGTCTTGAATTTATACAAAGTCCTTGAAGGAGTAGGAATTTGGGGATACTTCCAGTGGGCAAACTCATTTTGAATCTTATGAAATTTTGTTTTATGGGATAATATTCTTAGTTATTTGAATATTACATGATTTATTACATATTAAATATTTATTATTTTTGATTTGTTATTCATTATTTAGCAGTACTTTGGATACTATGGAGTATCTCTTTGGCTGACAAAAGGCGTGCATCCTTGGTGGCTATGATTGGGGTACACCTTTTTGAAAGTGGTGCCAACAATCCTGCCCAAAATTGACCAATATTCAAATGGATCTTGAATTCACACTCAAAATCATAATTCATCCATCAATCAGCTATATATCTCAAGATTAATCAGCTTTATTTTCTTATCTCTTCTCAGTCTCTCACTCATCATCCACAATTTCTTTCCTTCAAATCTATGTAGTCTTGCTACCTCTCAGTTTTTAGTTCACAAACTTTGTGCCTAACTCCCTGGTTTTGAAACCGAATATCTTAGGTTCTTTAAGATGCTGTCCATACAAACAGACAGTGAAGAGCACATATTTAATGTGCAATGCATTAAAAATTTTAATTGGACCACTGGCCATCAAGAATGTATTGCTTCTTGATGATCAAAAATTCAAGTGGTATGGCACACCTTCTTGGTTTATTTTCCAAGCAGATGCTGGTAGTATACCACACAGGATTAGATATTTTACAAACAGGCTATAGTATAGGTTCAGCCCAGTGCATTTTTCCCATTTTGACCAAACATGATTGTATGTACAAACTGGCTTGCATCATCTTGTTGACATGCAAAGTTTTTTTTGGGCTCAAGACAATAGTGGTATTCAAAGTTAAACCAAGATTGTGTAAAAATCAATTCACAAATGTATTTTTTCAAGAACTGCTTACATAATCCCTGTTTTCAGCCTTGAGCACATTGAGAAGTGATCTCAATGTGCCATTAGGCTATCATGAATAAGAGAAAAAGTCTTACCGTTAGAGCAACCGCATTGGTCACTGGATTAAGGCCGGATTAGCGTAACTACTCCGACCTAGTCCAAGCCCTCAACCGCATCGGGTCCAAGTTAATCGGACTAAACTAATCCTGGAGTAGGATTTGAGCTAAGCAGGAGTAACTTTACTCCTTGCTAATCCTAGGATTAAGAGCCAATTGGCACACTCAACATGCGCGCGACCCGGGCTACTCCCAGTTTTACACCACACTGATGTGGTTGCCGAACCAGAGTAGCACTAATCCGGGATTAAGCTACTCCGCTAATCCTGAAGTTACACCCGCACCGATGCGGTTGCTCTCAGAGAATAAGTCTAATACCTTTTTGGAGAGTATTCCAAATACGGTTTTCAAGACCCATGTAAATGTTTGGATACTGTATAAAGATAGAATCTTCCTAGAAGAAGGAAGGACAGATTCTGATAGATTGAACCTACCAAACCCAGTTCATTACAATATATATTGTGATTGGGGTTTTTCCAACTAGATACTATCTTCTTCTCTGCGCTTTCATTTCTGATTCATCTTCAAATCTTACTATCTTCCTTTTCTATATTTCTTATCTTCATCTTGAGTCTCTCAATCCTCTACAGTTAGTCATTTTTTCTATAAATCTATATTCAGTATTAGTCACCATAGAGACTACTCTTGTTTCTGGTCTAAATTTTAATAAACTGAATACATTTATCCCGCAATTGGCAAACAACCATCATTATTGGATCAACTATACACGGTGGTATCAAATATAACCAAATCCACCATTATTTAATTGAATGGCAACACTGGTTTGCTACTTTACGCTGCACTATCTGCATTATCTCAGTAATGTAGTGCACTTGATTCCTTCCCTAATACATTAACATGATCTGTAGTGGCAAATGTTTCTTTCAGCCAGTAGTGTAATGGTGAAGTTTTTGTCTGTAATGAATGGATGAAGTAATGCATTATCAGATTATCCAGAGGTTAAGCAGCCCTAAGCACATTTTAAGTGTGTCAGCCTTCTACTATTCAGAGACAACGTGACCATAACATAAATATTTAGAGACATTATTACATATACTACGCCGATAGCATATGTAATTAATGTCTATTTTATATGTACATAATGTAGAGACATTATTACATATGAGTATATATAAACATCAATATTTAAATAAGTGGAATCACTATAATAGAGACATTATTACTCATTACATTAAGTTTTACTAGTCATGAAAGAAAACATAAAAATAAACCAAAAACATTTATAAATAAACATTTTTTTTAACATGAATCTACAAATAACTTCTAAACCTTAAGCAAAAGTTAGAATATTATTTCAGATTCTTAATTCTCATGCAAAATAACCTAGGGTACCTCACCAGAAGTACCCCTGAATTATTACTCCTTCAGGTACTTCTGTGTACTCTGAGTGACACTTGCTCATTTTGCTAAAAACCCTCCCAGTTACATCATACTACATGTTGTGACAGGTCTACATATGTAATTAAGGTTCATGCAGTTCGGGAAAAATCTACAAATAAGGTTGACATCATTGAAACCTTAACTACATTGTCACAACAACTGTAACTGGCTGGTCAAAAGCCATTTGTGGCCCTTTTTGGCCCAATTTGGCTAACTACGCCTGGTTAAGACCAGCCCACTGGTCATTAAAGGGTCCCAGTGCCCAAACCATGGCTGCAGGTTCGTCACAGAACTCCTTAGTGTGTGTTACAAGCCTCACTTCAGCCCTCCGCCACCTGTAACCAAGGACTACAGGTGTCTAGGCAGTGCTACAGGTCACCAATGCCTAGTAGGAGGCTTACACCAGCCAAACAGAGTTCTGAGTTCGCCTCCAAGGGCCCAGAATGAGTATATAAGGAGCCCTTCTTGACCACGAACTCAAATTCCCCATCTTCATCATCACTTACCAGCATTAACCACCTCCAACAACCAGTTTATCACCTGTTTTGGCCCAGTTCCTGCTATTTTTCATCCTGAATTTCAACCAACCAACCATCAACTGTTCCCCAAGCACTCTCTCACCACCTGTTACCCAGTTTTCTGAGCGCTTCCAGACCAGTTTTCCCCCTCCTGAAGTCCCCCTTGGCTTGGAAATAGTACAAGTAGGTAATATTTCCTTGATACTTCAGTTGTAGGCATTTTGTCTGGGCATACTCCTTTACACAAAGGACCAGATCATCAGGTACATAAAAAATACCCCTGTTTATAACAGGTCCTGATTCATTGGAGGGCACCATAAAAACCCCTGTAACTCAGGCCCCTCCCTTTATAAAAACTTAGCAGTTTTTATTTCTTCTTTTTCTTAATATCAAAAACTCCCCTTTCCAAGTGTTACCCACACTTGTACATACCATTTTCTTAGTTTGCACCTGGTGTAGCTAGAAGAGACCAGCTCTTGGCATCACCCAGGCTGACAAAGTGGCAAAAAGCCTCTCTTTTTGAGCTTTGGCAGCAACACATGCCATGAATTTCCAAAAATTACCACATGTCTTACCAATATTTATGTTTTTTTTTAAAAGAAAAATCACAAGTTGCTGATAGTGTAATGAGCAGGAAAAAAAATCCAAAGCAGAATGAATAATGTAATGTGCAAACCATTTCCAAACATCATGGGGAAAGTAACGATAATGAGTGGAAACTCACTGCTTTATCTTTACACTAACATTATGGGTAAATGTAAATACCCAGTGTTGTGACTGGTTTGGAAAATACACACTTTTTTCACATGTTGGTTCTTCATTTAACCCCTTTTGGGGCCCATTGATGCAAAAAATGGGCAAAGTGACTGGTTTCTAATGGTGGATATCCTATATTCAATACCCCCTATTAGATTGCTTCAAGAAAACTTGCAAAATCTTGCAGTGGAACACATGTATTGGTGTTATTTCTAATTTAGGGTCTTGATAAAAAAACACAGTTTTGCCGTGTTTTGACACAGTTTTTGCTGCACGCAGTGGTAATATCAACATTAGAAAAGATTCAACTGGCCTGAAAAAAATACCAATGTTAATGATACTTACAATAACAGATCATTTTGGAGTAGTAGTTTTTTTTGGCAACAAGATATCTTGGTCTAAATGGCCAACAGGCAGTGTATGAAAGCAAGTGACACTGGGACTGAGAAAGATCTTGTTGAATTATAAAGATTAAGACCAATCAGTGTGTCACTATTACTACATCTATTTTGATAAACTAATACAAAAGCCTGAAGGTTCATATTATGTGAGTTTACTGAACAACATCAAACTGGATATACAGAAGAAATGAATGGATAGAAAAGAGAGCAATTTACAAACATACAGCTAGCAACTTTGAAGACCAACATTGACACCTTCCTATTTCACTAATGTCTACAGCATCATGGGTTTTAAGTGTGATGTTTGAATTCAATTAAACAGAACGTGAAGATGACATGTTATGCAATTTTCCAGGGTAATTTCCCATTTCCTCCAAAAAAAAGTGAAACTAAGACAACTATCTAAGAATATCATAACAACTCTACATACTTCTACTCGAGACTGTTTCTTTGACTTGATTTGATGGAGAAATTAACAAAAGAAGGCTGACACAAAATCAAGGATACTATCTTTGAGAGACTGAAAGGAAGAATCAAGGAGCTGTTTGAAATTTTCTAAGGAATATCATGCTGCAAGTCCGTATCCGTGGTTAAAGCAGGGACTCATGCGTGCCAAGGTTGATTTGATACAGAATAAGTAAATCAAATCTCAAGCTATTAAGTGTTGCTTTAACTAGGAAAAAATGTAAGGGTACAATATAAGTTCTAATAGTGCTGAACGCTGTACTCATTCATACAGATTAAAAAAAAGAAAAACGATTCCTAAGACAAAATTTGCTATTCAGCTAGAATGGGTCTCAGAGATAGTGATCAGTTTCGGTTCCAGTTCAGTTTCTGCCAGCAGGTGTTGATGTCATCGACGCTCGCTGCCAATGGATCTTCAAAGGCGAAGTGAGGTAGTGGTGCTGGTTGTTGTATCGTGCTGAACGATTGTTGCCGGTTTCCCATCACATGGGTGTTGCTAGAGAGATCCATACCGGGAAGTGCTCCGTTGACATTGACAAGTTGATCGGGGAAAGGATTGTATAGCAGATCCGCCTGGTTTCCTTGCAAAGGCTCCACTAGGATATGGTTATTGAGATCAAGGGAGCCAAAGAAGGAAGAGTGATCCAATACGTTGGAAAGTTGCGGTTCTGATCCTCCACTTTCCCGAGCCTTGGGCATCTGGCGGTACAGTTGTTGAGTGTCTGGTACATAGTGAGGGGCGGTGGAGTATGATTCAGGCTGATTGAAGAGGTTGCGGTCAATTTGAGGGAAGGGTTGACTCTGGGAGAGATGACGGCCGAAGAAGGTGCCACAGTTCAATGGAGTCGGCTGAGGAGAAATGACAGGTAGAAGGAAATTGTGGGACTGCAGGCTAGTTGGATACGAGTTGCTCGTGACTAGACTGCCTTCGCTATGAGATGACGATGCTGAAGGAAAAGTAGCTGAGGTACTACTCCATGGGGGCGCGTATGAGCTAGGATGAGGTAGGTGGGGGAAGCTCTGTGACGATGCTGGTGCCGACATGTTTTGCGGCACCCGATCAAGGTAACTCGTGTGTGCGTACTGGGGGTTAAACGAGGTGACACAGGATGGAGAGGTGCTGGTTGATTGGAGTACGGAAGTGGATTTCGGAGACCCACTGTCGCTGTGAAAGGAGAGGCTATCATCTGAATGGCTTTTGTGGTGCTTCATTAAGGTTGTTTTACGACAAAAACTAGCAACAAGGTTCCATTGTCAGACTTGGGGCGCTCGTCGAAGAGACAAGGTTCATCTATCCATCTCTGGTGCAAAAAAACCGAAGCTCACGTTTTATCACAGCCTATAAAGGGACACCGATAAGGCCGCTTGCCGGTATGTACCCTGCGATGACGCGCCAGCGAGCTGGAGTCGCTGAAGGCTCTACCACACTGTTCACATACATGAGGTCTTTCACCCGTGCTGCTCAGGATGGATCTTGTCAGCTCCTTCTGTGTTTAGGGCCAAGCTGCCGTGTCAGCTAACTTACTGGGTGCGCATGTGAACAGTCAAGGCTGATCTGTTATTCGAAAGAGTCAACTCGTCAGAAGTCCATCTGGCGCGTTTTTCATCAGACAAGCACAGATGAGGCGGTAGGGAAAATCACCTCTGGATGAAACATTTACCGCAAGACTTGTACTCGCATTTGTAAGGCCTGTATGTGTATGCATGTGCAACGGGCCGGTCAGTGCTGTCAATGTGATAGGCTCAACCAGAAAAGAGAAGAGCATTGTGTTGCTGTTGGGATCACACACCGTTCGTTGGTGTGAATCCGTACATGGCGAACAAGGTCAGATCGCCGCGAGAAGGATTTGTGACATGGTGCGTAGGTACAAGCGTAAGGTCGGGATAGCTTGCCGTCAGTGTGACTCTCTGGTTCGGGAACTTCCATGATAATGGCGTCAGGGATAGGGGACTGAGGATGGCAATTGGATAATGTACGAAGATAAAACGCAGAAGAAAAGAAATGGATTGATGTGCTGATTGGAGGTATCAACGAAAAAAGGGCGTGAGCGCTGGGAGGTCAGTGTAAGGAGTACAGGCTTTTTGAGGCAACGAGGGGACCAGACACGGGCAGGTTAATGAACTGAGGAGGACAGAGGTAGCAGGACTTGCAGTGTCTGGCCTGGAAGCCCCAGTGAAGAGCTCAAAGGCTTGTGAGAATATGCCCGGAAGAAGAACATAGGCAAAACAGCCACCAGACATAGCGGTCGAGATGGGAGGACGAGTAGACTATCTTCAGTTGGACCAACCTAGAGCAGTAGCATGACTGAGAACTGAAGACGAGGAGAAACGACATGTATGCTCCTCTTGATCCAGAAGGAATGAGTGCATTAAGCTTCGATAGGACCGGACACCAACGGACCACAGCCACAGCCTCTGGAGTGCTCTCTCGACGTAGGCTGAACAGCTTCGGGCCCGCGACGGGTTGAGGAAGGCCCCAGATAGGGTCGAAGCTTCTTGACTTGGAACCTCCCTAGGATTCCGGCATGGTGGTGGCTCAGCGGACAATCGGACCTTTGTCCTAAGAAAAAACCGCCGTCCTGGAATGGAATGGCCTGCTGGATGAGGATCGGGACAAGCGTCCTCGCCGTTGGTGGATGTATGGCCATGAACGATGGTGGTGAGCATATCGAGAAGACCTGATCGAACCTGACTGCATGTACATTCAAGTCAATCGGGCCCAAGCTTCTTTCTCTTCTAGAGTAGCAGCTCAATCGATAGACCCTCGATCAGTGAGGGTTGGCCTGCTTCATACACAGTCAAGTAATAGTTGGCAAACGATTCCTCGCGGAAACACGGCAGGAAGACTAATTACCACTTCGGCTTCGTGCCACGTTTATCCTTCGGGATTTGATTTTGCACAGCGGTTAATACCGCGTCGTGGGCGGAAAAATTCGCCGATTCCCTTAATTCACTCTATGTACCGGCCGCTAACTTCACGATCCATGATTATCGGGATGGCAGGTCGCACATTATCATAGGTTTCCAGGATGCAATCGAGTATTATAAGTGCATCATGCTCACTCAGACCAGCCAGAATAGGTCCCATACATGATAATTTACCTAGTGGTCTTTCATTCGAACAGGCACGCAGTACCTGACTTCCTGCCAGATATGTATGTACTGGCACCTCTAGGCATGAAAGGTCCACCGAGCAGAAAATGTTACAACGGCAAGAAGGGCCGCACAAAAGGCAGCAGTTCTGGCAGGTGATCGCCAACCAGCTCTGATATCACATTGGCAAAGGGGAGTCAATCCAAAAAGAGAAAGCCACGAAAAATCAAACAAAGGATCAAAAAACACATCTTCTGGTCTCCCGGTTGCCGATCACTCCTGCCGGCCGCGGCGCAGTACAACCCAGCTGGACTCCGCTCCAGCCTCCCTCGATTGGGATGTGCACAGCACCCACCCACACCTCTCGACTCCTCGAGGGGCGATCCCATCCTCCAATATTCCACCTACCTATCGTCATTTCAAGGCTGCTGGCAAAGAAATGGCCGGATTCAATAATTCTCGGTTGATTTTTTCTTTTTCTTTTTTCAAACTGCCCCCAGACTGACTGCTGAATATCCTCTAGGACTCAACTTTGGAATTCGAGAAACGTCGAAACGTGCCTGTCAAATACGATGGAGAACTCGTCCAGACCACCATCAATGCGATCGATCGAGTGGCAGCCATCAAAGCCAAACGAGAAAAGGCTTTCTATACGGCACGCATGGCAGCAGCAGCACCCGTTGTTCGCCAGAGTATGGCCGTGGAAGTCGTCAAGGATAGACATGTCCTTGGATTGAAAGACGACGAGTTGACCCAGAAGGCCGTGGAGGCAGCAGAGAGCCGTCTGGCGGTGATTCATACACGAGAAGAAGAGAAACAAGCAACGAGGAAAACGAAGAAGGCTCAAGCTGAAGATCTGGAGATGGATACTGTTGTTGAAGAAACTATGCAGAGATGTTCATCAAGCGATTTCCAAGGCACTTGTTTCAGCCGCTCTTGCCACCTCTCGATCTGAACTTGAAAAAGCAAAGATAAAAATGCAGAAAGTAAAAAACAAAGTGACAAGAAAGTCTGCCTTGATTCCCGCCAATCAAAATTATGGATCTTGATTAAATCCATCGACGAATCCCATCAACACACGAAAGCGAAACTCAACAGTTCAAACCTACGCGGAATGTATATCTTTGGGATGGGGTCTTGAGCCTAGTTGTAGAGTTTCATTCTCTGTTTTTTTTTTCCTGCTTTGTGTAACTCAGACCTATCAACAAATCTCAATTATATTTTAGAGCACCTTGCCCCCACCGAAAGCCAACCATCAAAGTCTTGATCCTTGATCCTTTTGCCCAGTGGTTCACTGGTAAGCAGAAAACTGATCGGCTATTTACTTTCACTTTTATTTTACATATTTACCTGTAACCATGTTGTAAGACTCTTCCAGGTAGGAGTCAGCTCAGTTACTTGGGGCTCACGCAGATTGATTTTTGAATCTCTTGGTCATCTTCTTTTGATCGTCTCGAGGAGGGCCTGAGTGATGGCTGGGTGTGTGTGTGTGTGTAAGTTTCTACAATCCGATGGAGTAGTATGATTTGCCAGGAGCTTCTCGAGTAGGACTCCTGGTCCAGACTAGATTAAGTTGTATGAGTTGGTTCCAGATTGATTTGCCAGTGACCGAACTCTGCTCCACCAGTCCATCGTTCGAATGCTCCACTTTTCAATCGCCCAGTCCATTATATATCACCCCTAGTATGAACTACCGGAGGAGCGCCAGAGCTCATGGATTGTTTTTCCTATACGACCTGATTGTGGAAAATTGGGAGGTTTTCACCAGGGCTTCGTCTTGCATCAGCTTGCTGCCTAAAATATCTCCTCGCTAGTCTGATTTGTACCGTCCGAGTCATCTCTCGCCATCGCTGTTGAACTGCTCTCCTGAATCAATACCTGCTACACACCTCTGACTCTGTCGGTCCGTTCGACCCTCGCAGTCTCACCCATTTTTGGACATCCTTCTGCTAAACACACGTCCCCCCCCCCTCTTCTACGTCTATCAATCATGAAACGACCGACAAAGACACTGAAGTTTGCAGAGCTCCAAGCATGGCGTCAAGACAATCCGTGTAAGCTTCCATTCAGCCAGGCAGAAATTTTAGGGACTTGCTCCGACTCGAGTCTCTTTGCCCATCACTCATGTTTGACAAACCCTTTCTTGGACTGCGTCGGGGTGATCAGATATTCTCACGGGGTATCGGCCTAATTTACCAAGTATGGTGGCCTGCCTCAAGTCGATCTTTGGCTACTTTCACAATGAAACAGGTCAGTTCCAGATTATGTCCATCATGATACATAATTATACACTGCGTCATCCTGTTCTGATGAATCAACCAACCATCACTCCCCCTATATTAATGTAACTTGACACGTATTACCAATCAGTGAACATCCACACCCATCTATGGGGGGCTGTCTTATTTTGCCTTCTGATATTTTCATTAAGCAAACCGTCACAATACATACCATGGGGAATCCGAAGCCTCGTGGACGGTACCAGCCTCTCAAGCTCGGTCACTTGGAAAGACACATTCGTCTTTGGCACGTTCTTCCTCAGCGGAATGTCTTGCCTCGGTTTCAGTGCACTATTTCATACGTTTTCTTGTCATAGCCATAAAGTTGAGTCTTGAATTTATATGTTTTAAAACATAATTTGTACGCCAAACAGTACTCAACCTCAAGGATTTCTCCTGATCACGACTCTCATTCTCATATTGCAGGTTTGCTCCACCTTTGGGCGGCTGGATTACATTGGGATCGTTTGGTTAACCGTTGGCTCATTCTATCCATCTATATATTATGGCTTTTTCTGTCATGGAAAAGTAATTGCAACTTACTTAATTATGATAACCACTTTGGGTGCTTGTAAGGATTTTTTTTCTTTTGGGATCTTTTTATTAGTCACTCTTTTTGCTTTTTGAGTTTCTAACTTAATAACTTCCCATTCCCAAAACAGTCGCCACCTACACAGTCGTCTCTCCTGCTTATCGCTCCAACAGTGGTCGCCGTGATCGGACGATTATGGTTATTGCCTTAGGTCTAAGTGGTATCTTTCCCAGTAACACACCGGGATTATTTCACATGGTGTTAGTTGGTTATACTCAAATCACTCGACTCATAGGACCGCTTCTTACGAAGTCATCATTATTTTTGCTTTCGAATAGTTACTAGATGCAGCCAATAGAGTTGGGTTGTGGTGGCTTCTTGGCTCAGGGGCAAACGTACATCCTTGGGGCCGTATTTTAGTAAGTCGATGATCCACGCTCCGACGAAATCAGTCAAGTGATTCTTTCCTCATATGTACCTTTTTATGTCTTCCCACAGTGCCGAACGATTTCCTGAACGGCTGATTCCAGGAAAGTTTGACCTCATGGGCTCCAGTCACCAGGTTAGATCAAGTTGTATATCTTTGATGCCTCTTTGTACTCTGATTGCTTTGCTAACCTATAAGAAGGAACATTCCATCACTGACATTCTATTGTTTCATTGATGGCGATACAAACAAATCTGCATCAGATTTTTCACACCCTGATCCTCATGGCTGCTGGAATGCATTACTTGTCGGTCTTGAAGGCATTCAAGTTGTTAGTTTCACTTACTTTTTGTAACTGAAAAAAATCATTGAACCTCACTAACCAATGGTTTGCTTTCTCCTTTCTTTTTTAATAGCGCCCACGATCCGAGCAACTCTAGTTGTCTGTTGTAAGGCTATCGTCATATCGAACAAAAAACAGATTCAATACTTGTATAGATTTTTTTTTCTGGGGGGGGGGGGTGAATATGTAGGAAAGGCTATTTAGAATTTTACTGTTGTATTCCTTCTTTTGAATAGTTTTCTGAGCAAGTAGCAATTCAAAAGGCTCACAGATACCCGACGTGCAAGGCAATCATATCGATTGAATCTGTTAGATTTGATTCGGGCAAATGGATCAAAAAGTTATTGGTCTGAGTTATTGAGTTTCAACTTTCAGGAACAAGCCAGCTCATCAAGTAGACTGAAGCCAGAATCATGAGCTCAACACCCGATGCATCTAACAAGGTGCTGATTCTCGATACTTATAGGATGAAGACAAAACCAATGCAGATCGATAGAAGTGTGACATCTCAAGCAGTTATGTTGCATGGGTGGCTGTGCGTAGCTCAGAAGAATGAAGGCCTGGTTGGGATCGGTTAGCTGCAGGCTGCAGCCCTGGCGGAGTGAGTCATGACTCATGTGTGATGTTAAGGATTCACAGGCTGATCAGATTGTGGAGTGACTCTGGGTTATTAATAATTGAAGCGGCTTGAGGGGTGTGTTGATGGAGATGGATGAAGCTGGGCATGGGCTGTATTTTGATTGGTATGGATGTATGCGCTCGACATTGTCGTCAGTCTCCGAGCTCATCCACCCTCGGTTTTCAAGCCAGCCACCACTTCATCATACTACATATATTGACCAGCTTCAACTCCAAGCCGAACACCAGCTCGAGAGCGTTCCATGACTTCAATATCGGCACGGTAAAGAGGAAAAAACACACACCTTGCTCGAATGGCACCCAAATCTTCTTCAGCTTCGGCAGCCACTCGAAAGAAACATGCCAAGAAGTCCCAACAGCAGCCAACCAATCAACCGGATCCCAACTCAGGACCACCTACCAGCGGACCAAGGCAGAAGAAGGATAAGAAGGCTCCCAAGGTCAAGCGTTTTATTCCACCACCAACTTATACGGGTGAAATCGATCCGGTGGATATCTTCAAGATCGGCTTGGATGGCAGTCCAGTCCAACCTGAACGGGCAGTAATCCTACGCAAGGTCGGAAAGAAAGACCCAGTGACGATCGAGAGAGGACTTGATGAATGGATCACTTGGATCGATTCCACCTTCAATCCCACCTCGACCGATCTTAATAGTCAGCAAGTCAACCAACCACCTCAGCCTGTCGAGCTCATCGCCACCGTGCCCGTCTTGATTCATCATTTCCCTCGGCTGGTCGTACACCCATCTCGTCGAGTTCGAGTCCTCGTCTTAAGCCTACTGGATACCTTCATCGGTTTTCAACACGATCAAGATCACCCCTGTAGGTCGATATTATTGAATCCAGTCGAATTAGAAAAACCCGAGTACATCGGCAGTTGGATCATCAGCTTATGGGACCCCGATAAGACAGCTCGGGCCATTGCTACTAAGATTTGGAAGGAAATCGTCGACTTGACCGTTGGTGAATCGACTCAAGTCCAAGGCAAATTCAAGTTGTGCGAGTATGACTCCGAAATCCTTCATCATCTGATCAATTACATCCAACATTCCTCGGACGGGGTAGATTCACCAGAACCTGGGACCTCTCAATCCATCCCTCGTAAGGTCGCCATCCTATCCGAATCCTCAGAATCCACATCTTGTCGTCTCAGGGCATCGGCATTTGAGGCATTAGCCCATTTACTCCAAATCCATCCAATTCCTGAAAAAATCTTTGATCACATCACTAACTCATCAATTGCTCAACATCAAACGTGGGAGCTCATCAACTCAAACAAGAATCAAGAACCCTTGGTTCGAAGAGCTATCTGGGTATTGATTCAAACTCTGACTGCCCGTGAAGTCTGTCGGCGTAAGCACTTTTGATGCTTATATATTACAATGATGTGTATGACGTATGTACCTGATCTGATCAAATCTTAGCATCTATCTCCAGCTTTACTCGACGCCCTCCTGCCTGTTTTCTCGTTTGCGGCCTTGGATGCCGCCTTCACGGAAAGAGATTTTAGCGTACAGGGTACAATGATCATTGGATTGGTGGGACTTCTTAAAATTTATCCTACGCTGTGGTGGGCGCCAAACCAGTCGACCTCAAACCAATCTATACCCGCGAGTGAAGACAAGCATCCCACTTCTTCAGTTGTAAACGAATCCTCGTCCGATCGACCGTCAATCTTAGATAGGTTTTACACCTTCCTAGAGATTGGCTGTCCAAGCAATCCCACTCTTCTTTATCCTGCCTTGATCTTGATCTTGGTCTCATTCCCGGTCACAATCGAACATACTGAACAATTCTTCGCTCACTTTTGGGCGGCTTTCGAATCACGAGCTCTTCGATCGAGTGGTGCCCGAGGTCTCAATGAGTTCTATAGCGCGTGGGGTGAATGTCTATTACTCTTCGGGAAATCGCTCGGGGATCAAGCGGATTCGGTTGTCCAAAATCAACTTACCAAAACTTGGACACAACTGATTGATTCCGATGATCAAACTGAAGCTGGATTCAATGCTTTGAGCTCGGTCATTATCAAGATTGCGCACAAGTCAAGCTTTGCATCAAACTACGTCTGGTCAATTATTGGGGCAGCAGTACAAGCCGAACCTCAAGAGAAAAAAGTTTTACGATATCTGGCGTTTTTTTCCAAAGCACGCATCTCTCATCCGCACGAATCACAGGGAACGAATGCTAGAGAAGCTAGTGTTCTACTCTGCCAACATGTGCTAAATCATTTCAACGGCTTGGTCGAGGTTACCGAACAGGCGGCTTGGGTTCCTGTGCTTAGTAAAATTCTGAAAGAAGAATCCGCTGGGAGAAGTGTTTTGAATGACTCTTCAATCGATTCACTGGTGAAATTCTGCCGGGATTTTCTACCCGATGCAGTCTGGGGAGGCTCCAGGCCGCATTACAGCTTATTTCTCGACATTCTTCAAACTGCAGTTGATCGTCTGGCCAGTCCTGCTTGGGTGGCCGTCATGGATCTCGACAAATATGTCGCCGATCTAACCACTGTCAAGCATTCCATCTTATGCGGGATACTCAATTACGCTGCGAAGTTGGATGCGAGCTTGAAGTTGCCAAAGTTGGAAATCGATCGGTTCGTGTTGGGATGCCTCGAGCAACACCTTGGAAGCAGCCCAACATTTCATGACATTATCGAAGTAACTTTGACCCGCCCTCAACTATTCATTCAAAAAGGAACACTTAGACGCATGTTTTACATCGTGACCAACGAGCTTCATGTCCAGGCGAAGCTGCTGCTACAAAGTCCTCAATCATCAACTCAACCCAAGCTGCACCTAGTTTTACCGATGTGCAATCTGCATCTCCAGCATTTAGAGGAACTCGTCCTTGCACAGGAGTCTTCATTTATTTCAACTTTGAAGCAGGCTGCTGTCGATTTGTTCTCTGTTGAATCCTTTTTGCCCCTGATGGGGGATGAATCCGTAGAGGAGTTGGTTCACATTGCGCATGAAAGTTACTCACTTGCCCTTGGCCTCTATCCGACTACTCAGCTACCAGACCTTCATCGCGCAATCTTTACGTTGCTTGGTGACTGCATTACAAATGTTCAGTGTTCAGTTCACCCTTTCGACCTGATGGAAAGCTTGAGAGTTTTCCTCGAGCAGCCTTGTTCGCTCGAGGCTGTCGACTTCTTATGCACATTACCCATCGGGAATATCAGCGACAACTTAATCACACCACTGTTTTCACCTCGGAAGTTTTCACCTTTGCTTCCCATGATCAATTGTCTGATTCAGTCTTCTGCAGGCGGTGAACATGAAGTCGATGTTAATCTTGCATCCAAATACGACAGAATCGTGCTTGCCATACTGGATCTTTTTACCCGAGATCGACAGTTAGCCCAAAATCATCTTTGGCTATGGGCACATTGCATGTACATTGGTGAACTAGCACGTTTTTCCAGCTCCACTTCTTCGCCCCCCGCAGCAACAAATCGGCTTCTATCCGAGGATGAACTGGAATCGATTGTATCAGCGGTTGATACCAACACCACATATCTAGTATCATCCCTTTCTGCCCATGTGTCTTCGTCGTGGCATTCTGACATCGTCATGAAAATGGATGCGCCGGAAAATCACCTGCCTAGTGAGACGGATCCGCTGAAAACCCTTATCTTGAATCTTGCAATCGAGTCTCGCCGGGAAGCTACCAAAGATCTTGCGACGGTTGCACTTCACAAAGTCCTGAGTACTTTGTTCAAGTACTCAGACACAGGCCCGAATGACTTTGAAAAATGGTTCAAATTCTCTCAACAGGTTCAAAGTTCTCATAGCAATCTTTGTTTATCACTGATCCGAAGTCTCAAGTCATATCTATTTGCGGAGGAAAGCTTTCAGAAATATCAAAATCGGTTGGCTGGCAAATTGACCGACGTGTCCTCGAACCAGGCTAACACCGAAGGTTTACACCTCATCCAGGTTTTGTGTGCGACTGCTCCGCCACTCGATTCGACGCACATCTTTTTGCCTCAACAAAGGGTAATCTTCTTGCTACAAGCGGTCAGTGGATGGTTGAAAAGTGACGACGAAATAGGGCACGAGCTCAACATTAAATTGCTTGAGTTGTTCTCGGACCTTGCACCCATCGTTCAGACTGTCATGGGAGCTCATTGGGATCAAATGGTGGACCTGATCGAAATCAACTTGGAAGTAGGTTAGGGTTACTGTATTCTGTGGTGGCGCGTACTATTATTGACCCAGTTGTAATGATGCTAGGAAGCCTCCTGGGAAGATGAAGAGTCGCTTTTATTGGTATGGCAGTCATGCCTATTGATTAAAACTCTGCAAAGTATCATGAGGCACAATCATGCTCTCAAAACCCAGATTGGTTCTCAAGTTCAAGGATGCCTCAAGTTGGTGCTGGAACTGTTTTGCTCAGCTCCCCGTATGTCAGTTTTATTCTTAAATTGTCTTGATCTGCCAGATACTAATTTCAACAACATCAGTTCGATCTTCTATGCCTACAACAACTGCTTCACTCATGCATGTTATCGAAGATGTTTTGAGCGATAATGAAGCCCAGTCTTTATACTCGGATGTGCCTGTATCATCGGTGAGTGCTATACAGTTTGATCTCCTTTTATGTTTCTGTTCCGTATAATGACAACTTTCTTTTTCAGCTTGTCAATTCACTTTACAGCCCCTCAATAAGGTCAAGCGTTTTGGGGTTGACAATAGCGCAAGCAGCTGTCAAGCATCTCGTTGACAATCTGGCCATTGAAATCGAGCTGAATTCAGAGAGCGCTGTATCACCTGCGTTGCCTGATAAGCTTGTGAACTCTATCCAGGCTTTTAAAGATGAACACCCAACTGCGACTTTGATGAGCTGGGTGCTCATATTTTCTTTCTTTCGAAATGCGGTATGTCAAATTGTCTGGAGTTCACCATACATGTTTTCAGTTTATTGAATCTCATTGCTCTCATCTTAGTCATCGCGCCTCCGAAACAGTTACAGTTCACAACTCCGTGAGGCCAATCTAGTATCTGAAAATCTAATCCCACTCCTTCACGAGATTCTGGAAGTTGCTGAGCGGGGAAAACCAATCGATATCTCCATCTGGGACGTCGCTTCATTTGATTTTTCCCGTGAGTCGAATCCGTCATATGTTACAACGTTTGGAGTAATTAGGATCGTTAAACATTAGATTGTGTTCTGCCTTGTTTTCATCATCGGATTGATCGGATCACAGTCATGGAAAGTACAAGGCTCAGACCCATCCCTCTAGCTGCATATGTGTACTTTCTGGCGCTTCGGGCGGTCCCCTCACAAATTCGATCTTGGTGGGAGGAATGTCGAAACAAACAGCTTTCAAGTACTATTGTTAGCTTCATCAGCAGGCAATTTTCACCGATTCTCATCAGCCAAGAACTTGGCAAGTTCAAAGAACCGTCAACGCTCCAATCACTGACCGACGAGAATCTTGCAATCAAAGTCAGCCCGGTGATCAAGGAAGTCAAGGTGACTTATACTGTCGATGAAGAGTCTATGGAGATCGTTATTAGAATCCCCAGTGATTATCCACTACAGCCAGTTGAAGTGCTTGATATCAGAAAGGTTGGAATTCCGGATACTACGTGGCGTGCATGGCTGTTGGTGGTACAACAATCAATTGCCAATCATGTGAGCTTTATTTTGATTTGAATTGTGAAAAACAGGTTATTAACTTTTTGAAATTTGAATCTTTGCAGAATGGGTCAATCGCGGATGCTATTGGGTTGTTTAAAAAGAACATTTCTTTGCACTTTGAGGGTGTTGAAGCTTGTGCAAGTGAGTCCTGCTTGCTAGTCTACCTTTGACTCGCAATAACCCCAAGTAATAAAAAGGTGGCTAATGCTTGGTATGGTTTTGACATAGTTTGTTATGCGATCATCTCGGTGGTGGACAGAAGTTTACCCAGTAAGGCTTGCCGGACATGTCGCAATCGGTTCCATCCAAGCTGCTTATATAAGGTGAGTACTGAGACTTCTTCATCTTGGCTGTATGATTGGTTTCTAACCACAGATAAAACTTGCTTGATTAAATTCTAGTGGTTTTCAACCAGTCATGGCTCATCTTGCCCGCTTTGTCGATCACTTTTTTAAGATAAAAAAATCAATCAACCAATCACCATGTAATCTTCCTGCTTCACTAGCGTTTGACAAACAAAATCTTCAAAACTTCATGCTCTTTCTATACAGATTAAGACCACCTTTTACAACTGGGAATAAAATAATGACATAATCATGTATCCCTAATTTGAGTGTCTTGATCAATGTATAACTTGGTGATGGGATTTTATAAGACTTAAAAGTAAGTACTCAACATACTTGGTTTAAATCGTTAGAGACAGTAAGAAGTAACTGCTAAAATGGCGCATAATAGGGATTAAATATTGTCAAGAAGGGTTTGAAGTAGAAGAGATGACCAGAATTGAACTGAATTTATTGATGGAAAAGCTACTGTGTTCATGATGCTGATAGAAAAGACCACAGATGTGGGAATATGTAGATATACTAATGCTTCATGAGATGAATATATTTATTAATTTTTCACCTTTTAAAGTTTTGCTAAGATTTCCCCTCCCCTCCCATGATAAATTTACTATTTGTATTAAGATTTGGATTTGATTCATATGTAACAGGCAATGGTTGTGGCTTGCAGGAAATCTGTGATTTTGGGACAAACCACATAGTGATCTTCTGGATGAATTATCTTCTGGATGAATTTCAAGAACACTAGATTTGCACAGGTGATTAACCTGTAACAGCAGTGAGCTGCTATGCTAAAGTTAAACTATGCTACAGGGCCACTTAGTGTTAGCGTAGTGCTACTAAAAGTGGCCCTTTTTTGTGTAGTGTTAGTGCAACACTACCACTGCTGCACTGTGCTACTTTGTAGTGGCACTAACAGTAGTAATTTTTTGGTGTAGTGTTAGTGTGCTGCTACACTAGAGCACTTTTCCCAAAAACCGGTACAGCGCTCTAGTGCAGTGTGTTGGGGATATATTTGTGCACTGTGCGTGTAGCATTAGCACAATTCCACACTACATGTTAGTTCAATTTTTCACCCTCTGCATGTAGTGTTAGTGCAGATTTGTGGAATCACATGCTAAAAAATAGTGTATTTTAGCTCCACTACGGTTAGCATTGCTGGCCCACTGTTGCCTGTAACATTCCCCTGCAAAAAAACCTGAGCTTTGAGCTGATCAATCACCTTTGATACTCATGCTACAAGTATGTACAATTTGTCAAAAGATGCTACATTGAACACAAAACAGGGAAAAATGAAGTACAGTGGGTGGACCATTATCTTTGGCTACTTGTTTTGCACTCCAGAGCTTCAAAGCACAAGCTTGAAGTCACAAGACTTGGTCAAATGGTACTGAATAGGTCCAAAAAACTAAATGTAAAAAAATAAAAATAAAAAACAAAGTTTCAAAATTTGTGAAAAATAAAAAATAATTTTTTTTTCTAGAAGCTTTGATATTCATTTTTGGGAAGTGTGAGTGATGAGGGAAAGGAAGAATGGAAAGAGATTATAAATGAAAATTTTGGAAAAAAATGTTTACCAGGTGGTTCCAAACAACTGGTGAGTGGGACATTCACCAGCACACATTGTGTTAAATTTTAATGCACTAGAATTTTCTGTTTTGACTCCTATCTGAACAACCAACTTGGCTCAACCTTTTTTGGTTCCAAATTTTACATTTATAATCACTCTTGGTATGTTCCACTCTTTCTTTGCCTCAGCACTCCCACTTTCTCAAAATGAATACCAAAGCTTTTGGGAATTTCTTTTCACAAATTTTGAAACTTTAATGTTTTTTTATTTTTATTTTTTCTTATTCAGTTTCTGGGACCTCTTCAGCACCACTTGACCAAGATTTGTGAATTCAAGCTTGTACAGGGTTACAGAAAGTCTCCCCTTTCAAGGCAGTATTTTGTGATCTACAAATTTTCTTGCTCTTTGGACCATGTAGCATTGTTTGATGCATGGTACATACTCACTATTACAGGTGAATGTGCAGCTCAAAGTTCATGTTTTTTGAGGAGGACTGTTACAGCTTAATGACACACACAACTGTAATGTTTGACTTGTGTTGGAATCTGTTACTTTTCAATCATCTATCAGTTGTGAGAATAAAATTCAAGAAATTGGGAAAAAAATTGGTTGAGAAATCTAGTGAATGGGTGCTTATGTTACCTATGCCCTGGTCTGCCAATGATGCTCAAGTTGCTATCAAAAAATAAGCAGATTGTCACCAAATGTTGGTATCAAAAAAAATCAAGATGATCACCAAATGTTGGTATCAAAAGACAATCCAAGATAATCACCAGCTGTCACCACTTATCACCACCAGCATCTGTAGATACCAATTTCATGGTCTCATTCTACAAATTCTATAGTCACTGTGTTTTTGAATTTGATTGAAAGCCCATTTTTCCTTCAGGGTCTATTTTACAAGATGTTTTATGAATGATCAGAGGATCAAGTTGTGGTAAAGCAGTCAAACTTCACATCTACTGGCATATTTACCTGGATTAGGTGTCAATTTATCATTTCAATTCCAGAGACTTATGATAATATGGTTCAAAGAATTCCTATTTTGTCTTTTCTTCTATTAACAGACCAATATATAGGGTTAATTTCACTTAGTCTTACATGCCAAATTTCCACCCATCCGATGAAATTTGAATCCAAATTCTCTTGCCAGATTAAGCCAGTTGATGGAAGTTTCCCAACATCGTGTATCAGAGAGAAGATAGAAGTCTGAATCGCAGAATGTGACGAGAATTTGACAAGTCAAAATCTTGTCTGATGCCACGTAGTACCGTTGGTCAGACGCGTGCACGCGCTGCTGCCAAGAAGTGGATGTGCATCGTTGATCTTGAAAGCCGAGCGGTGGATGACACCCGGATAATCGACCAGTCTGCAGCTGGGGAGCGGGTGCGATCTTACCTTAGTAATAACAGTATTGGCTCGCCGGGATGTGTTGATCACTGATCAGATTGTATGGCCAGGTGTAAAGAACGGGCTAACTTCGCACTTTCTTTTTGACTTTTTGTTTTACTGGAAATAACTGTTATATGATTTTACGTGGTGTTTTTTGTATAGTAGAGAAAAATAACAAGATAAGTCTCTTAAGGAGAAATAAAAGAAAGGGAAATACAACCGATATTTATAGTTTTTGCTTTATTTTTTATTTTGCCGTGTAACTAACAAGGTAGAATCATTTGACCATCTATTGTTTCATAACCTATCATTTGATCCGTAAGTAGACATAATAGAAGATATCTTGTAAGGAAGCAACGGAAGATGGAAAAAACAACAAATAAAATAGAATAATAGATAAATTGAAAATTGTAACGATGAGAATTTTGAAGGAAAGATTTTTTGTTGGTTTTCCAGTCTCGCTTTTGACACCAGGTGGGCGGGGAAGGCCGGAGGGCTCACGCCCGCTGGGTCTTTGGATGCAAAGATCTGCGCCCTGTGTGAATTGAACAATTCCAAGGCAAACCGGCCAGGATCGGTCGGCAGCTCGGAGGTGATCGGTCGACGATCGGGTCGCAGGAGATGGATTGCAATTTGGAGCGGTGATCGGCGGGCAGGCAGAGAGATGGGTTGTCCTGGGAAGTGTTGAAGGATCGATCTCACACACAAACAGGCAAAGCATAGCTAGGAAACAAGTGCTCATCACTACGAGTATCCATCCAGGAAAGGATGGACTGGTTGAGTATATAATCCCCATGTTGGGAAGCAATCCTATCCCTTCAACCAAGCCTGCAGACATCCAACGATTCAGAACTCAGCCATTTCGACTTATATATCCCCGACTTCGACTGAGATTTCCTCAAATCCGGCATCCCGAAACGACTAAAACCAGCAGTGTTGTTTTGACGATTATTTCCAACTCGAGATGACTTATTCGACTGAGACACTGGGCTTCAAGATGCTTTACAAGTTTCTACTAATGGTAGTTGCAGTGGGATTGGTGATGGTCGAGAAGGATCGGGGGGTCGCCGGACGAACAATTGCGGCGAGAGCAGCCGGCTCGGAGTCTCAGAGTCCTGAAGGTGGGAAGATTACCGATGAAGACCACTTGCTTTTAGGCCGGAGGACCCACCAAGCCATCGACAGAAGAGCGATTCTGCCGCCCGGCTTGCAGCCTCTTTACTTCATCAGTGCCACCAACACGGTCTATGGTGGTTATTCCGCCAGGCCATTGCAAGTGGCCGATCAAAGGAGCTCTGCCGGTCTCAAGATCAGCTTTGGATCCATCGAATTCTACACTAAAGATCTCAACAGCTATCTCCAAAACAGATTATCCGCCGACAACTACGGTATCTGGGGCTTTGCGGCTTCATTCAACACTGCAACACGGAAGTCGGATTACTCGTTCTTCAAGTCCATCTCCGACGACCGCAGCTCATTATCGGCCAAGGGATTGGCCCCCAACTCTCATAAATCGCGCTCGCTCCAGCTGACTCACTTCAGCAAAAAGCGTCAGGACGATCAAGTCCAATGTCGAAATCAGAAGGGTGACTCGTTCTTGTTCTCAAAGAGTGCCTGCTCATTGTAAGTCACACGATTTCCCTTCACGGGAACCGTGGATGTTGTACTGATGGCTTATAATGTCTTTTGCTATGTGGAACGCCTCTAAATAGAGCTGCAGCCAAGATGGTATCTGAGAAAACGGCCATGTCGTCTTGTGGAAATTGTCAAGTTAGTGGCTCTCTTCTGGCCTTACCACCATAAAACAGATTATTTACCTTTGGGTCACGATTGTTCTATTTGCATAGTTGGTCATGATCGGCCCCGCAGGACAACTCTCAAGCTCTAACATGTACGTTCCTAATATAATGTTTTGTGGACAGACGACGCTATCTGCGAGAATAAAAGACTGATATCTTCTATCTATCTCTAACAAAACACACAGGCCTGCGAGTGATCTTCAGACACACGCCGCAAATATTTTGATTGGATGCGGCATGAGTCAACGAGTTGAGTATTCTGCAACACATCATCAGCGATAAGGAAACCAATAAGCTAATAATCTGTTGGGCATCTTTTTCACTTCATTCTGGTTTCTATTTTACAGACCGACTCTTTAAACATCGCCGCTTCTTCGTTCTCTCACTCGATCCCTGATAACGCTAAGCCAAATTACGTCTTGTTACTCGCCAAAGGTTGAGGCGAAAGCTGTGATCAATATAAAAAATAAATATGCTGTAATCCGTTTCCAATGATGGGCCTTGATCCTCCTCTCTACTCGTCTTAATGATCTTGATAAAATGTAGCCTGTTTTCTTGAAAATTCTACGTATCTCTCGTCTCCGTAAAAGCGTGTCATGCTAGTTTTTGTTTGTTTTTTGCTTCTTCTTCTGCCCCTCGATCCTCATGTTCATAAAATAATGATCGTATTGAAAGTTTCAAGAATGAGTCGCGTTGGTCCTCTGATGTAGTTGAAGATGTTGAATGATCGAGTGTATCCTAGAGAAGGAGGCTATAAAAGTCATTCCGACGGCCATGAATTCAGTCCTTGCTAGATTTTGAACGATCGAACTGTATAGAAGTGTGGGTCATCAACAAGCACTTTGTCAAGCCGGAGAAAGTTTCCCTAACTTACTCATAAGCTCTCAGTAACCTGGACTCGAACTAAGAACCAAGGAGAAACAAATTTCTTGAGATGGATGGTCGAATGTGAGAGACGAGGTTATGAGGAACTGACCTGATCTAAGAAGCCAGATGGTGGTTGTTGAAGTTTGGGTAATAATTTGATCGACCATCTCTTGACTTCAGTCGCTCGTCTGAACCAGATCGATGATCGGTGTTGGTTCTTGTTGGAGTAGATTAATCTCGATAGCAAGTTCACTTCATCCCTCAGTGTGGCCTCGTTCATCTTTTAGGCTGCTGTTATGTAGTTAAAACTGTTTTTATTTTTCTATGTAACTGATTACTGACTCGCCTGTATGCATGTATGCATTTGTTCATCTAAGTACATATTTTTCACTCCCGGGTTGACTCCTCCAGCCGGATCTCACCCCTTCAGCCGATTTGTTCGATCGACCTCGAATATTTGCAGGTTGCATCATCTCTTCAGTTCTTCCGCTGTCGAGTGAAGACCAGATGAACTTGGCCACCGAACGATGACCCGACTCGAATGTTTATGGTCAAGATTGCTCTCGATCAAACTAGTTAAGCTTCATAGCATCTTTTGCAAGAAGCTTCTTACTCGACTGACCTATATCCCTTACGCAAAACAGCTTCAACCACCACACCCTCATACAATTCATACTCTCACTGGCTCGCTTGGTCGATCGATCGGATCCAGTAGTAGTGTGTAGTTCTTCAATCTTCAACTTGCAATCCTTACTTCTGTTGTTCCTTCAGCCCAAAATAGTCTAAAGTAATACCCTTCTCTCTCTCTTCCAGGAACTTGGAAGCGCCCTTCCAGTCTTCGGCCCCCACTTTCGTTCTACTCCACAAGCACCACCGCGTCACCCTCCTCTGCCTCTGCCGGCTCACTTGAAGACATACTCGACCCTAAGCCTTACTCAGATCTCGTCCCTCAAGCGCAAGCCAGCTTAGTCGGCCCACAGCACTCGGCACAGCTCATCCAACGGCTTGATCGACTCCTCGACCTTAGTCATCAGCAACTCAGCCAAGCACAGCAGCAGGCGTTCGTCGAGCTCCTCAGTGACCATCGGCTATGGACTGCCTACCTCCAAGCACTCATCCAGCAGTCAGGCCAGTCGATCGGCCAACTGACTCAGACCATCCAGCTCAAGTCCCAACGACGTCAATCCATCCTCGATCAACTCAAACCCGGCACTCGCCCCTCGTCTGACCAACAGGCTACCACCTCCCCACCCATTCAGTCCGATCATAATAACCACAGCAATACAGACACAACAACAAGCAAGACAACCGCCAAAGACGACAAACCACATTCGATCACATCCTTCCTGGCTTCCTACAACCTAAACCCTGCTAGTCTCGTCTCGGCTCTCTTCAACCGTGGTGGTTCCAAGGCTACCATTCAAAACATCAAGGACTCCGAACTCCATGCTGCCAATCGAGATGCCATTGCTGCCACTCAACCTCGTCCCAAATCATCATCACTCGATTCACAACTGTTCCCCAATCTCAAATCCGATACTCGTTCCAATTCGGAGAATGTCGGGAGCATCAAGGTGGTCGTCGAGGAACTTAGGGGGAACCCTCTCTTACGAGCCCTACGCTTCCTTGCAGTCACATTGGTCTATTCATTCATCGTGAGCAAATCATCTCGAGCCGAATTATTCTGCTCTATCTACCATGATTCTTCCGGATTCCTTTTTAATCAACTTAATGATCAATCAACTTGAATTTAGATGTTGACACTACTCAGTTTGGTGATGGACTCATCTGGTTTACTGAAAGCGACCTCCCCTACTGGCGGTCCCACCGAATTTAAGCCGCAAGGCCAAAAGCCAGTCACAGTCAGTTTTTGGGCCTTTTATTTTTCTCGTTTAGATCTTGCTAACTATCATCGAGTGACTCATAATAATTAACATACGGTTTTATTAGTTTGGTGATGTGCATGGTTGTGATGAAGCTAAGGAAGAACTGAAAGAAGTAGTTGATTTCTTGAAGGATCCTCTCAGGTTTGCTAGGTTGGGCGGACGTTTACCAAGAGGTTGATCACCCTTCTTTCTTGCTTTCTCTTTCAACCCTTCCCGCCAGTATTTCGCCTGATAAAGTATCCTGGTTTCTTGTTCATAACAGGTGTCTTGTTGACCGGTCCCCCTGGAACTGGTAAAACGTTACTAGCTCGAGCTGTTGCAGGTGAAGCCGGAGTGGTAAGACACATATTCAATAAGGCCCATCTCCTCGAGTTAACCGATCTCAAACCTATCGTTCTTACTGACCAAACTGCAATTATTAGCAATTCTTTATTGCCTCTGGGTCTGAATTTGACGAAATGTATGTTGGCGTTGGAGCTCGTCGGATTCGAGAGCTGTTTGCTGCGGCCAGAAAGGCAGCTCCTGCAATCATATTTATTGATGAGTTGGACGCGATCGGTGGTAAACGTTCACCCAAGGATCAGCATTACATGAAACAGACCCTAAATCAACTTTTGGTAGAGCTCGATGGCTTTCAGCAAAGCGTAAGCACACTAAGTCATATTCTACTTCGGGTTGTTTATGGGCTCTAAAGGACATCATCGGTACTTCAGGAGGGTGTCATTTTGATGGCTGCCACCAATTTCCCAGCTTCCCTCGACAAGGCACTCACTCGTCCTGGAAGGTGAGCAATAATGACACATTTCCCATTGGGGGGGGGGGGGGGGAGAAATACCGAAAGCATGCGACTGATGATGATAATTCCTTCTGTTCTCATTCCTACTCCTTGATCAAAGGTTTGATCGACACGTTGCAGTACCGTTACCTGATGCTAGAGGGAGGATTCAAATTTTGAAGCATCACTCTAAGAACGTGACCGTTGATCCAGGTTTGTCTCGTGCCATGATGACGTCGATCAGAAAAATCACTTAAAGCTTATATAAAGGTTTCTCTGCTAGCTCTGGACCTTACCGTTGTCGCTAGATCCACACCCGGTTTTTCTGGTGCAGATCTGCAAAATTTGGTCAACCAAGCCGCAGTCAAAGCTTCGCGAGAAGGTGCACAGTCTGTTAGAGCGCTTGACTTTGATTGGGCTCGTGACCGAATTATGATGGGAGCTGAAAACAAGAGCTATATTACTACAGCTGACGTAAGAGCGCCTTGCTTTCGAGGACTCATGTGGAACACAACAGAATTGATTATTGTTTTTTTTTATCAGCAAAAGAAATTGACGGCCTACCACGAAGCTGGGCATGCGTTGGTCAGCATGTATACTCCTGGTGCCACACCACTGCATAAGGTTACATGTCTTCGCAGAGGACATGCACTTGGGATCGTAAGCACACATAAATATTGTTTTATTAACCCTTTCTGAAAGCCAGTATGCTTAAACCAAATGATTGTAGACACATTTCTTACCGGAAATCGATAAGGTAACGGAAAGCTATAAGGAATGTTTGGCAAGGTTAGTCTAGCTCTACGTTAAAGATAAGCCTTTGATTATCGTGGTTATTGAGCTTCTCTTTTTTCTTCTTTTTTTTTTCTCTTCAAGACTTGATGTCGGAATGGGAGGTCGTGCAGCAGAAGAAATCTTGATGGGAAAAGAGAAGTTAGTTTGGTTTTGAAAATATTCAGTTTGCTATCAAGCGCTTTCATCATATTGGATCTGATGTATGGTTGATTGGATTCCTATCGAAAACCCAAAAGTGTTACGTCAGGAGCTTCGTCGGATATCGATAATGTGACCCTGGTCGCAACCGCGATGATTAGAGAGATGGGATTCTCGACTAGGTTAGGACCCCGAGCTTACCGGACAGATGATCAGTTAGCCCCCAACACCTTGGCTTCGATTGATGGGGAGATCCAGGAGATGGTTGAAGCTGCCGCTACAAGAGCTCTCAACCTCTTACAATCCAAGCGTGATGAACTGGATCGATTGGCTCTAGCGTTGATCGAATATGAAACGCTTTCGGCTGAAGAAGCTTGGAAGGTCGTGAAAGGTCACAAGCTCGAACGAAATACAGTTTAAAGATCACGTATATCTTTACCCAATATGTGACCCCTCCTTCGCTCTATATTCCGTGAAATATCTGACTTGAGCTTTTCCAAGAAAATTCCAATTTTAATTATTAGAAGAAGGTCAATGATCATGATGGCAATAAGCTTTCCCGTTCCCGATCCTTCTGTTTGTTCTGGTTTTCATAGAGAAAGAGATAAGGAGCACAATTTGATTATTCTATGGTTGAGCTTGATCAGCAAAGTTAAGACTACTGGGGTGCCCCATTACACCTATGAGAGTCTTGATTGCCAAGCTGCACAACAAGTTGGATCAAGTGTGAGCTAGTTGAGTTGAGCAGGAAATCATATCTAGTTGCCCAAAACCGACACGCGCACATTAAAGCTGGTCATTACAGAAGGGTTGTGTTGAGTGACAGATATGTGAAACCCCGGTTGACTGTATGCACATATTCATGGATGACTAAGCAAGTCAGATTACGTAAGCGGTCAACAAGAGAAACGGGTTTTGTAATTTCAACTTTCAAGAACCAAGCAAGTTCTCTCAACCAACCAACCAACCAACCAACCAACCAACCAATCTCAAACAAGATCAGCAAGGAAAGAAAGAAACAAGCATTACCAGGATGGAACCGATACCCTCAAGAACAAAACATCACAAAATACCACGATCCAACTCAGAGCTCGGCAGACTACGACACAACCGATCATCAACAACCACCGCCACCTCATCATCAATAGGAGGAACCAAGCACTCATCATCATCAAACTCAATCAACAAGCTCAAATCCAGCTACTCATCACCCTCTCAATCCTCAACCATCAACCAACCAACCCAGTTCGTCAAACAACTCATCATCAGGGCCCGTCCTCATCTAACACCACCCTCAGACCAACCCAAGTCGGGCTCAGCTTCAGATGGCCTACAAGTCATCATGTGGATCAGAGTCAGCTATTCTCATCATCTCATCTATTGATCTTGATTTATTAAATACTCTCAGCAAGAAACACTGATCTCTATCTGATCTATTCCAATCTAGCTCGCCATCCCATACTCCTTGATCCCACTACCCGGCTCACCTGATCTTATCCTACCCCTGATGTCAGACGAACGACTCAGACTTATCAACCATACCATCTTCCCAATCAATCGTCGATCATCCAACTCAAAACCTACCATTCAAGCCTCAAACAATCCATCTCAGGCTAAAATCGCCGCATCACTCCTCGATCTATCCCAATCTTTTAGACCCAATACTAACGATCCTTCAACTCAACCGCCATCCATCAGCGTCGTCGTCAGAAACTTCACCATTTCTCTCCTCATCCCACCCACCCATCCTCACCCGATCAGTCTCGATCACTCTTTCACTTCAACACCGCTGGCCGAATACGCGATCGTATTAGACTGTCTATCCCCATGGGCAACCGTCGGTCCAGAGTGGCCTTTCTCAGTTAGTATCTCCCAGGCTGTTTTATCTCTAAACCTTTACTGAGAAACAACCTTCCTTCCACCTCCAGGTCATCCTGCCAACACCTCCCTGCCTCAAAAATTCATTCAGGTTGATCTTACCCACCGAATCATCCAATGCACTCTTTGGAAATCCTGAACAAGATACACCACCACCTACTGCCCATCTCAATACCTTCCCACCTCTCAGGCGCGAACGCATGCGGTTTTCGAGTTCATCAAAGGGTGTTCTTAGTACGGCCAAATTATCATCGATCTTTAATGATGACGACCTACGCCCTCTATCAGACGAATCAGAACCTGAAGGAATCAGTCTATCAGATGAAGAGGGTAAACAGAATCATGAACCTCATCGAAAATGGCCTCAAGATGAACTCTCTCCTCGGTTTGAAGGCGTCTTCCAAAGTACCAAGGAATTATGTATCCTTCTGGGTGCTCATCCTCCTGCAACCTCAATTCATACTCCGCTTACTGCCAAGCATGCCTCTAGTCAGCTTTTAGTCTCTGTTCATCACACACCAAGTACTCATGCTAGCAAGCCTGACCCCACTTCGATGGATATCAGTTTTCATGTCGATCTTCAACATATCAGTACACGTACCATCAATCAGAAAACAGCCTTCGTTTTGGCTATACCTGAACCAATCGCTAAGAGCATCGTCTCAGCCCAGTGGTCACCATTGAACGGCGACGGCGTAATCGAAACTCAGTTACCATTGGCGGGTCATTCAAAAAGCTACATCACACCTTCAAGTTCACCTCCAACCAATAGCCCAATGCTCGGCCCAAGTTCACTTTCAAAGAATCAACATGAGCTTGATCTTCTCAATACTGCCGCTCCATTTTTAGATTCAAAATCTGAGATCCAGGCCGAGACAACTGGAGACGACTCTGATATAGACCTCAATTTCGATCACTCATCCGCAGATGAGCTCCCTTGTAGTCTCAGAAAATCAAACCAAACGCTCTTACAAAACTCTCGATCCACTACCCACCATCAATTTATTGTTTGGATTGACACTGAATGGCTCATCCGACGCGCAGTAACCACTCACAATTCAGTCAACTCGCGACTCGTCTTTAACCTACGCGGCCAGCTTGAGATTGCAGCCAGCTCTTGCCCCTCACCTGTCGCTGGGATCTCGCTCAAAACGATTCCCAATACCCTTCTTAATTTTACCATCTGTTGATGAACATATTTGTGAATGTCAAATTTCCACCGATTTCCCATCTCGTCCAGATCTTCGATTCACCTTACCTCCATGGGCTTACTTGATCGAGCACACTTCCGACGACCAATCCCAGCAGCTTCGGCTATCTCTACCTAAAGATCATTCCGCCCCCACCGACATTATCATAGCCATCTTGATCAGCTAAACTCCCCTACCCAGCTTCCCTGCACCCGTGCCAATAATCCCTGAAAGTGCCACTGACCAGCCAGCATCATCCCCCCTGACTCGACTGACCGAGCCAAGCCTTTCGATCAATCATCTAATCATCCATTTCAGCTAGTCGGATTAAGTATCATAGCCGTCGATCCACAATCTCATCCCACGACCCTGGTCAAAAAACGTCCTCGGCTCTATGGCTCTCTCAGATATAAATCCAACAAAACAACCCCCTATATTGGACAAGGAAACCCCCTCCCCCGAAGAAGAACACCCCAGAGTCAAGCCCCTCGATTCGCTCAGTTCAGGTTGACTTGGTAGTTGATCGCTCATTCGGTCTGTAAATCGGTCATTTCTCAGTACGCTGAAATCTGTATCACATTCTGTCGTTCCTCAGAGATCGTCTACACAGACATCAATGTGTCGTTTCCAACCGAGTTCGATAGTCGTGGTACCCTCGAGATAATAGGTGTCTGGATTGGTGCCTGTGGAGCTTATCCGAGACCAAGGCTTTCAAGTTTCGGAAACTTCGGGGAAAGAAAAAGATGGCCGACTTGAAGAATCCACACGCTTCGTAAATATCAACGTTGATGTGAACAGTGTCGAGATTTCAAGCAAAGGCGAAACCGGCAGCCCATTGCCTACTCTCCGGATGATTGTCTCACATAAGAAGATAATTTCACCCGAAGAGTCTGAAGTGACCATGAAAGGCAACAGCTCATTCATCTGTCTATTGCCTTCCGTCGATACTTCGGTAGCTGCTTACAAAGCTCAACTTCGATCTTCTGAAGGGTTCCAGATCCAAGTCAAGCACTCCAACATGATCGTTCCCGAAAGCTCACCAGAAATGACCCAATTGATTCGCTATGCTTTACCAGCTAGCACTTCTCTTGTTACCCCCGCTTCAATCAAAAGCAAGTTATCTCTTGAGATTCGACCAAAGCAAGTCTCCAATGTACTTGTCACAAAGCCTCGAGAAGTCAAGGATCAAGTCGAGACAAGGGTCGAAGAGAGTGAAAATTGCAATGACGCCCAGGGCCCAGTTCGGAGTACGTCATGGGTCGAACAGTGTGTGCTTAGGTGGGGTCTTAATTGGAAGACGGTACTCTTATGTTGGCTGATCTATTTGGTGTCGTCGATGAGCATACAAGTGGAACAAATTGGTACACGGCTTAAGCGGATGGAAAACCAGCGGACCGCTGAAGAGGTTCCAATCGAGCTACGGAAGACGCTGCTAGAGCAGATGGACCCGGAGTTGATATTCAGCAACTCGGGTCTCGTTTATCCGGTGGAAGAGGATGAAGAAGTCTCCGACCGGTCGAATAAGCCTGCTCGGCCGCAATTCATGGACCTCAGGCTCAAGAAGGCCTTGCTGAGGTCTTTTCTTACTCCACAAACCTGTGCCCGTCAAGATCCCATCTTCACCACCGATCCACCATCATCCACCGGGGCCGCCGGACCAGCAGACCCAAATAAACACCCTGCCGAACCCCCGCCACCGCGCTCACAGCCCACCCAACAACACCAGCACTCACACGCTTCGACTGAAATAATCAAAGACTTCTTGGGCTTCTTTGATCGACTCTTCTACCTCTCCATCTCTCAACCACTCTCTAAATTGGCGGACTCGATCGGCTCGTTTCGTCAAAAGTTAAATTTTAAACAACCCTCCCCTCCTAAGGCTGAATTCTGATTGATTGTATTCATTTTGTTTTATTTTTTTTGATCTTTCTTGTTGGGTAGTTTTATCTTGCTTCTGGAAAGTCGTCATTTCATATTCATGGAAATCTTCAATCTTCAATCTACACACTTACATATACATATCTCTTTTTACTTCTATATTTGTATTGGTCTATGTGATTTGTTACACTTTTCATATGGTACATGTATTTATCTGCAGAATCTGTATTCATCATATACATACTTGTAAGGACAAAAAAGAAACTCCAAAAAAATTGGATTACAAACAGTTTTTGAGTAATGCTGGAACTTGTGGGGAACCTAGGTGTCTTGACCCATCCTAGCACCCATCGGTGATACTTGAGTAAAATTTTGAGGATACCTGGGCCACAACTGGGCCTCCCAGATGCCCATTTCTTGGATGAAGCAAACCTAGAGCTTGCTGTAGTTGTTTGCTTTGATTTTGTTGCTGTGAATTTTAGGACAGAATTTAACACTCAGCACAATTTATAAGCAAGGTTAGCATGCATAAATCCAATTGTGATTTGACATTGCATACAGTTGTGAATAGTAGTATTATGTGCAAGCCCACAATGAGGCTGCAGGCACATGTTTTTGATTGTCTTGCTTGTACATTCAACCCGATTCACTATGAGTAAAGGGATCTATTGATTTACTGTGACTAGAGGAATATGTTGAGGGACCAGTGTAGCATTCAAGGGCAGGGTAGAGCTGGCACCTGGGATCTCTACATGCCATGGTCAACTTGTAGGATCTCCAGGTTGTCTTTCTCTGGCAATGACATGCATAGGTTTTTTAATATCATGTTATTATTGCTCTGTTTGGCAGTCCAAAATATCATGAGATATCATTGGAAAATCCTGCAGATTAGTTTGAGAGACCAACTTTATGACCATAACTGGAATTCATGTTTGGCTGGTCACACTATAACATGAATCGTCCTCAACATCTACTGCAATAAATCCAAGGATCAATGACCTAGCTGTGTAATAATAGGTTGATGATTTATCAACCTTATTCTGATTATCTAGATTTGAATATGTTCACTTTTGATATTTAGGAATGCCAAACAGAGCCTAGATTTTCACATGTCATGTTAGTTGATAGAATATTTTGTGCTTATAGCTTATCAACTCAAATATTTATTTACAAAACAATATATAGCTTACACACATTCCTGAGATATATTTTGAACCTGTGGGTGTTTCTTCATCCATCTCAGATATTAGTACTCTACATTCATCACAGGTAGAAATGGCCTCCCAAAATCACACAGCCAGCAAGCAGGTGAACATGTCCAGATTGCATTGCACTGTTGATTTAGTTAGGAGTGTGCTGTAGTCACAGCAGCTACTTGTACACAGGACCTGAATGCCATGAGCACACAGCCTTCAGTCTCAGACACCAGTGCCACTGCAAAAAAAAGTGCAACTATTAGCAGTTGATATTTGATTTTACAGAGGCACCTTTGTAATATCACATGACAACTCTAGCGAGGGCAGTCAGCTCGTGGAGCGTAAGTGAAAGGAAAAGTATGCGGATACTTTGTATTTAGTGTGTCTCGCAGAGTCAGTGACTGTGAAATGTTTGGTTATAGAATTCTTGATTTCCGAGAAGCATGAAGAGGAAACAAAACAGAGACAAACAATACATTATTTATATACAAATTGTTGTCGGTTGTAGATCAAGACATATTGTTAGCAAAGCAGTCAGTGAGTAGGTGAGATGAGCAGAAACCTTTTTATTCAGAGCATGAAGAAAAGAAACATAATGATAGAAAGAAACTGAGGATAACATTGAGAGTGTATAATGGAAAAGGACTGAGTATACCGTTGATTGTTTTGATTGGTGGAGAAAGTTTTAGAGACTCAGTGTTTAGACGTCTGAGTGGGTTGAGTATGAGGACTTAGTATAATGCTGAGTATTTGTGGAGCGCTCTGGTTGTAACAGCCCCCCTTGTTCAGGATTATTCTGATACTTCATGGATTGAGATGTTGTTGATGATTTTGCGGCAACAATCAATAACAATGGCCCCAGCGTTTTTGGTGAGCATGTCGGCCGGCATTTCCTTGGTGTCAATTTGTTTAGTTTGTATTTTCTTAGTCTTGACTATTTCGCGAATGAAATGGTATCGGATATTGATGTGCTTTGACCGTTGGTTGATGGTGGATTCTTGTGAGAGGAAGACAGCACCATTATTGTTGTTGAATAGGTCCATTTGCGTAATTACGTTGGCCGGTTCAACAGGGTCTTGCATGATGTAGGCGATCATGTGTCTTGTCCAGAGCAAATGTTTAGCAGCATCGGATATTGCCATGTATTTGGCCTCCTTGGTTGATAGCGCTACTGTGCGTTGGTGCTTGCTCTTCCAGGAAACAAGGCATCCTTGCCACATTATCACATGTCCGGTGGTGGATCGGCGAGTGAGCGTGCATGAGTTTTAGTCGGCATCGGTGTATGCGGTTATCTTGGATGTTGGAGAATCACTTGTTTTTCAAAAAAACTATTCCTTGGTCCAGGGTCCCTTTTATGTAACGCAATAGGTGTTTCGCAGCTATCCAATGGGTACGGTAATAGCATGCCAAGAATCTGGCGAGATAGTTCACTGCATATAGGATTTCGGGGTGAGTACATATCACAGTGTGAGTTAGGCATCCAATGGCCTGTTGGTATGGAACAATGTGATCGGTTACGGGGGCTTCCTCGAGTGAAACGTTGTTAGGCAAGGGAGTGTTGTTAGGATTAGAGTCTTGCATATTGAACCTGTGTAGGACTTCTTTGAGGTAATGTTCTTGTGAGATCGTGATTGTGTTGTCGGTCGATTGTGAGTGATTTTGATTCCAAGGTGGAGCGATGGGTTTTCATTCCATTTCAAAGAGTAACATTTCTTGAATTTGTCTTTGAAACTAGCGACCATTTATTTTGAGTTCAAGAATACCAGTCCGTCATCCACGTGCATGTGTATGAAAATGAAGTTTGGTCCATCCCGTCGGACATATAAGGAGTCGTCATCAAAGTTGTTGACAAACTTTAGTTTACCTAACTTTTCTTTTAGGTCAGCGTTGAATTGTCGATGAGCCTGTTGTATGTAAACTGAATGTTCCATTCTCCCATTCAGGAATGCCGTCACAATGTCAAATTGTTCCATTTCAAGGTCGTCATTGGCGGCGAGTGTGAATAAGAGTCGAAGGGTGTCGGAGATGCCGACAGATGCGTAGGTTTGATCAAAATCTATACCGGGTATTTGGTGATTTCCAAAAGCAACCCATCTGGCCTTGTACTTGATGATTTTGCCAAATTGATCACGTTTGATCTTAAGACACCACATTCCTCCCATTTGATGAGCAAGGGGTGGTAGTTCCACTAGTTGTCCAAGGTTGTTCTGAACAAGCGAGTTGAATTCGTCTTGCATTGCCGCAATCCAATGTTCTCAGTCAGCCAAGGCCATAGCTTGACGATAGGTTGGTTTGTCTGGATTAGTTTGCAACATGTGTGCGACTGGGTTTCCGTAGAATTGTGGTCTTCTGCAGGTTCTTGCGGGTCAAGTGGAAGCTATCAAAGTGTTTGGTTGGTTCGATGATGTTGTTGGATTCGAGCTGTTGTGATTAATTCTGTTTTCACTGGGGGAGTCCCTATGTTCCTCAACCTGTTGTTTGCTTGGTTGTGTGACAGGTTGTTGTCCAGGGTCCGTCTGATTAAGTAATCCCTCGCTCACATCAGAATTGAATGTGGTCATTAGGCATGTCACAAGTTTTGTGTGTGAAAGGGAA